CTGCGACGCCGAAGCGGTGGCGGTGCTCCGCTAACGCTCTCCGCCAGGGGCAGCTCCGGCCGCCCGCTGCCATCCTGACTTCCCGCTCCGGCGGCGAGGCGGGGCGAGCGGAGGACCGGGCGGACAGTATACGGCGTGCAACACTGACCCCTGTCGCCTGCCGCAGCGCCGTGCCTTGGAAACCGGGCCCTTCCCGCCTCCTGCCCGCGCCCGTTCCTGGCCCCCGCCAGCCGCGGGGGCGTCGGCGGGGGCCCCCCGGCGGGGGGGGGGCGCGCGGGCGCGTCGGCGGTGCGTCCGGGCAGGGGGCGGCCCGCTGAGGAGGATCACCACCCAGCTCTGAGTCTCCTTTTGAGCAGAAGTCCTTTCTGCAGAACGGCAGGTTGTGTCTTGCAGCTGCTGGGATTTGTTGCTGACTAAACAGATGTTCCTATAGCTGCGCTTCAGACCGTTGTTTATCAGCTTGAGCAGACCAGGATGACTAAATTCCCTTTACCTTTCCCAGAAGATTTATATTGTCCTACTCTTAGTCACAGGCACACACAAAAAATCTGCATGCATTTGCAAGCCTACGTACAAAACTAAGCATGCACATGAGTACATATGGGTGTACATGTGTACACAGCCATTCTCACAGGTACAAGGCAAGGTTATTAATCCGTCTGGTTGGAAAATGTATTTAGGCACACAAACCCTTCTTGTCCTTCTGATACAAACTCGGTAAGCCTCTGTGCAAACTCAGGATTTAGAACTGATGCTCTGAGTTTAATTGAATGTGTTTCAGTTTGAGTGTTTAATAGAAAAAGCGATTGGTACTTTTGGAGCAGAGAGGGTAGTAAGTACATATCTCCTGAAGGAAAGTATGAAAAAGATTGGGTAAACTATAATCTGTGTGACAGGGAGGTAGGAGGTCCCCACCTTGTCATCTCCTCTGTAGCTACAGCAGCTTCTCTCAGGTGATCTGACTAATCTATGTTCTTCCTAGCTAGAAACAGTGCACAGTGCCTGCCCCAAATAAATTGCCGTGTAACCCAGACACACAGATCTAGACTAGTACTGAAATAACACAGCATGAAAATACATGCATTATTTCCCCCCTCCCCTTCTGTTTCATAAGCCCCTCTGGCTAACTTCTCAGTTGTAGCTGCTATCAGCGTTCAAGCCCTGGTTTGGTTCAAGTACCCCTCTTTCATCCCTCTCTTCTGCAAGAAGAAAATCTTAATTTCTGGAGCTACACCCAAAAATAGGAGCCAAAAAAATCTATGAAGTGGCCAGATGTTGTTCCTCTCTGCTTCTGCTTGTCAGGAGACACGTGGCTAATGGCTCTGCTGTTCTCTTCACCAGTCCAGGTTTTTCATCCTTTCCTTCACGCACTCAGCTACTGAAAATGCAAAACTACTCCAATATGCATCCCTTGGCAGAGACATTTTCACATTAATGCACAAACAGGCCTTGACACAACATCCTAGAGGGGAGAAAGCAAGGATTATATTCAGTGATGTCGCTGTGCCCAAAGCGCGTTGTTGACACAGACAGCACACCCACGGATGCAAATAGTCAAACACCTGTTTGTGTAAGGGAAGCCTGTTTCCAACAACCTGTAGGATGGGACCGCTTGGTCAGGTCTACAAACTGGTGTGCTACCTCTCCCTTCCCCCCAGCAGTTGCAGTGCGCAGCCTCACATTTTCCCTTCCACGCTCCCCACCATATCCTCTTTGCAATTTTTACCTCATCTGTTGCTTCTCAACTTTTGCCTCGTACCTGTATTCTTGGCAGCATTCTTTCCGTGGCCCTCTCCCCGGCTTCCCTTTGCGACCTCCTATATCCCATGTACAAAATTCACCTCGCATTCCCCCCTTTCATTTTCCACGTGTCCCATTTTGCCCTGCATGCCTGCATCAAGTATGTTTTTCCCCTTAAATCCTATGTGAAACTCCTCTTCCTGCCTTGTGATGTCCCTGCTTCTGCATCCCAACTCTTCTTGCCCATCAGATCCTGATGGTGGGATTCCCTTGACTTCTAGTTGTGCAGCCCCTTCGCTCAAGCCCTGAGGGCATCCTTTAACTGTCTCACCTAACCCTTCTCTGTGTCTTCTGCTGCTCCATCTGATTTGTGCCACTCTGCATTTCGGCTGCCAGATTGATTTGCAGCTTTTCTCTGCTCCCCTCTCCCATCTGTGTTTTTCCCTTTGTTGCAAATGCAAGTATACTCATTGTGCGTTCTGCAGATGCGAGTCCCTTTTCAGTATGTTCTGTAATCTTTGCCTCAAGTTGCTTTGCCAACTCAGCAGAATATATTCCATCCTCTTCAGAGTCTTATGTCCTTAGACAAAATGAGGGAGGTGCAGAAGTTACATGATATATCATTGTTCGGGAACATAGACAATACGCGTGTCTGTCTGCAGCCCGGAGAACAATATGAATGTAATTTTCTCTGCACAATAAGTTACAATTTTTGTGCTGTACGCTTGTTTGTGCTTTGTGTTCATGCAGGCATGTGCATGTGTTTAGATGTAGTACATACCTATTTGTGGACAGTGGTGATATTTTCTCTCTGTTACGTGCATTTACTTTTGTGAGTATAGAAAGTATGGTACTTTTCTACTGAGGCGTGTGTTAAGCTTGCACGTGTGTGTCTTCATATGTGAGCATGTGCTTGCGTGTGTGTCTGGGCTTTCATGCATGGTATGTATTTTTCTGCTTCTAGCACATACAGGGTACATGCACCTAGAAGCAAATATTTATGCATTTTGTTGTCATACCTCGCTAGTCTTGTCACTGTATTCTGTTGGGGGCGGATGGGGACTTCGTTGTTTATGTCAAAGGCTGAACTAACTCTGAGCCATTTTCTGAGCAAAAGCAACACACAATACTGGGTATTTCAAGAA